AGAAGACTAATACGTATATAAATGAATCCCATCAAAATAAACTAAGCTTTTACCTTACAGTGAAGTATATATGATTAAATTTACATAAAATTTTCTTCATATGCAAATGAAGCATTTAATCTTCAGGTTGAATTTGATCTACAGAACTCTTGGTTGTGAATTTTATTTTTGCATTTCAATGCCACTGTGCTACCATCCCATCTTTGATAACATTTATAGAGCTTGACTTTTTTTAAATGATGATAAGGGTTTTTATAATCAGGCACACTTTCATTGTCCTCTTGTGACCATCAGTTTATGCCACTTTTGTGATAACTGGAGAGTCACAGTCTGGGGTCACCATTCAGAGTATGTCTGCTATGACTCCCTGGAAGCCTGTACATACCCAGGAGGGCATTCTCCCGGCCTGGCTGGATCTGTTGTGTATTTTATTCTATCAGAAGAGTTTATTGAGATTAGTGTAAAAGACTCAAGTAGAAAGGCATCTTTTCCCTTATACCATATGTGAGTTTGACTCCTGGTCTTTCTCTTGTAATCAGAAATTTTCCAGGTGGCATTGAGTTTACCAAGGGCCTTTGTCCTCTGCCTTAACCATCCCCTCGTGAAAAGCACTGCATACATTTTAAAGAACACATTTAGACATGGTTTAAAGCATGAACAACAAGTGTATCTAAGAACAATATTACGGAACCCCCAAAACCAGGAAGTTAGTTCTTAGTGTTTGTCAAAGAGAAACCTACCTACCTCTGTCTCACAAAAGGAATGACTAAAGTATGCTTGGTTGTTTTAAGCCCTCAACAAATACACTTCTTTTGTAAATGTAGAGACCACTCTGTTTACTGGAGACTGAAGTGCCCACAGCTGTAACTTTGCCTGGTGATACGTAGAATATTTAGCCTTTAATTTAGTAAAGCAGACAGTTGCTGTGTTGGCAGAAGTGTGAATTTCATTTCCTGTCTGTGGTGTATGCCACTGAGACATTTTGTTTTAGGTTGTTCCCGTAATGTGGGTGCAATAGAGTGACCCACAGCAGGGTGACACGTGCATACCACGAATGTAACAAGAGACAAGACTTTTGCAACAGACCACAAGAGCTCAATGCTTTATTTAAAGATGAAAACAAAACAAGGCAAAGGCAGCCCCTCCCAGCCAGCACGCAAATTTTTTAAGTGGTATCTGTGGAGTCTTAGGTTTGTTTTTAGAAGACATGTTCCAGTCTATTTGGCAAGTTACCTCAAAGATTTACTAACTTCATGCCACTTGATTAAAGGACAAAATTGAGTAAATGACTGACATTACAGACATGATTTAATTTCATTTACCAATTAACTTATCATCAGACAGTTGTATTTTGCAGTGCATTAATCTGACACATATATTGGGTTCTATGACAATTATTTTTTACATGTAACATTACAAAATTTCTATTTACTTATCATAAATTATAATTCCTGCTACAGTGATGGGAGAGCAATAACAGGGTGGAACCCTGGAATGAATTTACCCATCCATCAAATATCTATTGAGCAACTAATAGTGCTTGGCAGTAGTGTTGAGGATACAGTGTTAAATAAAATAAAATACTTGCTCTTCATGGAGCTTATGTATTGTTGTAGGGAAACAACTGCAATCAAGTATACAAGTGAATAAATATAATTTTAGTATATGATAAATAGCCTGAAGGAAACAGAACAACAGGATGGAGTATGTTTGGAATGGAAGAAGAGGTGATGATACTGGAGCTATGACTTAAATAGTGACAGGCCAGTAGAAAAGTGTCCCAAGTAGGAAACAAAAAGCACAGAGCCCCTGAGAAGGAGCCTGAAATATAGAAGAAACAGAAAGAAAGCCAGTGCAACTAGATCATAGTAAACAAAAGGGAAGATGGTACAAGATCAGAGAAGTGACTTACTATCAGATATTACAGGGACTTGAAGTCCAAGCTAAACACTTGAGCTCTTATTTATTTTATTTTCAGCCTTTATTATGAAATGTATGAGGATATGGGGGTTCATTATATTATTCCCTCTACTTTTCTATGTGTTTGTAATTTTCTATAAAAACCTTTAGAAAGCATTTTTAACAGTGGTCTAAATGAAAAATGATGGTGTCATGGACCTTTGCTAGAGTGGAGATAAGTAGACAGATTCAAGATGTATTTGAAAACAAAGCTAATAGGTCTTGCTGAAGAATTAGATATATATTGTTTGAGAGGAAAAGAGAAGCCAAAGATGACTGTTATATATTTGGCCCACACAACTTGGGTGGATGAAGCTAAGGACCAGGTTTGCTGGATTAGTTTTGGCAGTGTAAATTTGAGATGCCAATTAGATTTCCAAGTGGAAATGTTGAGTAGGCAGTATAATTTACAATACATTAGCTAACCCTGAATTGCATACTTAAAAGCAAACTCGGAATACTCCATTATGTGTTTTTAAACTTTGCTTTTAGTGATTTGAAAGTTCTATCCTTTTCAGATTCTGTGGGTAACACTGAAAGTCTTAGTCTGTTGATACGAAATGATTTAGGTATGTTTTTTGTTTTCTGTGGATATCCACTAGTAATTCTATTTTGAATAGCCTCTGTCTTGAGCAGTATTTCTTTACCTCTGTTATCACTTACATGAGCAATGATGTTAACATGGAGGGAACTCCATGGGTTAAACACACTTCCTGTGTACTACTCCTTTTCAGAAATGCATGTGGGAATGCAAGTTGGTGAAAATAAAAATTTTTTTCATTTTCTTCTAAAAAGTTTTTTTATTGAAATATAGTTATTAAATCCTCACCCCAACTAGTACATTTACTGTCAACACAGAACGATATTACAGAACCACGACTATATACTCCATGCTGCACTTCCATCCCTGTGATCAATTTATATCATGATTGAGATTTTTATGCCTCTTTATCCTCCTCATGCACCCCAACCCCTTCCCCATGGTAGCCACCAGTCACTTCTCAGTGTCTGTGAGTTTAGTCTGTTTTGTTCATTCTGTTTTGCTTTTTTTTTTTAGTTTATTTATTTATTTATATTTATTTATTTTATTTTGGTATCATTAATCTACAATTACATGAAGANCCATGCCCCCCTTCACACTATACATGCTAATCGTAATGCCTCCTTTCTTTTTCTGCGCCGTTGTCCCTCCCTTCCCACCCATCCTCCCCAGTCCCTTTTCCCTGTGGTAACTATTAGTCCATTCTTGGGTTCTGTGATTCTGCTGCTGTTTTGTTCCTTCAGTTTTCCTTTGTTCTTATACTCCACATATGAGTGAAATCATTTGGTACTTGTCTTTCTCCATGCTTTGTTTTTATATTATACATATAAGTGAAATCTTATGGTGTTTGTCTTTCTCTGCCTGGCATATTTCACTTAATATAAGTCCTTCTACATCCATCCATATTGTCCCAAATGGCAGCATTTCTTTCCTTTACATGGCTGAATAATATTCCATTGTATATATGTACAATTACTATAATGTACAAATAATGTTCCATTGTATACATCTCCTTTATCCATTCATCTATTGATAAACACTTTGGTTGTTTCCATATCTTGGCTATTGTACATAATATGGCAATAAACATAGGGGTGCATGTCTTTTCAAATCAGAGATTCTGTTTTCTTCCAGTAAATTCCTAGGAGTGGCGTTTTCTGGGCTGCATAGTATTTCTATTTTTAGCTTTTTGAAGGAACGCCACACTGCTTTCTGTACTGGCTACACCATTTACCTTCCCACCAACAGTATAGGAGGGCTCCCATTTCTCCATGTCCTCTCCAACACTTGCCATTTCTTGTCTTTTGGATAGTGGCCATTCTGACTGGTGTGAGGTGATATCTCACTGTAGTTTTGATTTGTATTTCCCTGATTATTAGTAATGTGGAGCACCTTTTCTTGTGCTTGTTGGCCATCTGAATGTTTTCTTCAGCAAAATGTTTAGGTCCCCTGCCCATTTTGTAATCAGGTTATTTGTTTTTTTGGTGTTGAGGCATATGAGTTCTTTATATATTTTGAATGTTAACTTCTTATCAGATAAATCATTTACAAATACATTCTCCCATACTGTAGGTTACCTTTTTGTTTTGTTGATGGTGTCCTTTGCTGTACAGAAGCTTTTTGGTTTGATGTAGTCCCACTTGCGTATTTTTGCTTTTGTTTCCTTTGCCTGGGGAGATGTGTCCAGAAAAAAATTGCTCATGCTCATGTTCAACAGATTTTTGCCTATGTTTTATTCTAAGAAATTTATGGTTTCATGTCTTATATTTAGGTCTTTAATCGATTTCACACTTAATATTGTGTATGGAGTTAGACAGTAATCCAGGGTAAAAGTAAAATTTTGAGTAACGCTTAAAGGTGGTGTTGTGTGTTACAAATTTTTTTGTTTTTGCAAACTTTGGATCTGCAAAATCCAAATTATTAGTACCTAAGTATTGTAACATATTTCACATCTGATTAGAACACTTTTGAAACATCATTATTGATAGCCATAGGTCTAATCAGGTCTAAAAATAGACTAATATTGTTATACTAATAGGTCTAACAATAACTGACATTTATTAAGGGTACCACTCTAAGAAGCTGTATTCTTACTGATTGCACAACAACCTCATTTGATTATTGCGGTTTTACAAATAAGGAAATTAAGGCCCCCCAAAATTCACCTGGGTAAGAAATAGCAGAGCCAGGATTCAAACTCAGACAGTCTGGTTCCAGAGCCTTTACCCTTATTTTTTGTTTGTTTTTTGTTTGTTTCCAGAGCCTTCACTCTTAACTGCTATCACAAAATGTATATCAAATATTAAATTTTTGTTTCAGAAAAATTGTCTAAAGTAGATAGGATTGTGTGAGTAACCAAAGTCTCTTGACTTTATTTTTACTTCATCCCATGAAGTTAGGTTTTGAAAGGGGAAAGAGAATAATCCCAAAGTGGGTCTTCACCTTACCCTTTGATTTCCTTCTTTAAATAATTTATTTTCTTTTGACTTTGTCCTTGTAGCATCAGCGAGAGCTTTCTAACTGTCAAAGGTGCTGCCCTTTTTCTACCACGGGGAAATGGCTCATCCACACCAAGAATCAGTCACAGACGCAACAAGCATGCAGGTAAAGCTCTATATACCACCACTCTTTTCTTGTTTTCTTTGCCTAAAAGACTGACTACCTCATCCCTATTTCTCCAACAGTTCTGTAATAGTGAAAAAAAGCATTGTACTGTGCTGTAATCACTTGTGTTTTACTCTCATTGACCATTTTTCTGGAACTTAGCAAAATGCTTTATACCTGTAATAGATGTTCAATAAATTTTTGTTGTAAAAATAAGAAGATAACAAAAATACTCTAATGAAGTCTAATGTGACTTCTCATTTAAGGTTTCCCAGTAGAAGGAAATACTCTGTTTGCTCATGAAAGTACTTTTCACTGCTCACAGACTTGAGCTTCGACATACCTGGCTCACATATGGGGCTTCACAGTAGGGGTACGGCTCCCTTACTTTTGCTAGATCTTCAAAGAAGTGAGCTGTATCTTTGGCCAATAATGCTTGGAGTAGAAACTTATGGCTATTTTTTGTCCAGAAATGGTTCTCTGCCAGAAGTTCTGTATCCTGAAAATCTTTCCCTCGGGTAATTTGTCTTGATAGAACAGAAGGAAATATAATTTTTTTTTTAAAGCCTAAGCTGCTTAACTCAGTTGTACCTTGTAACTCCTCACACTGGTTCTTTTTTTTCTTCTTCATAACAGCTTTAGTGAGATATAATTCATGTATCATATAATTTACCCAATTTACCCTCTTAATGTATACATTCAGTGATATTTTAGTATATTCACAGAATTGTGCAACCATTACTACAATCTAATGTTATAGGATTTCAACTCCCCAAAAAGAAACCCAATTCCCAGTCACTATATCTCCCACCCTGCCTCACAGCCCTAATCTACTCTCTGTCTCTCTAGATTTGCCTATTCTGGGTGTTCCATATAAATAGAATCATATAAACAACTTTTTGAGACAGGATCTTTTCACTTAGCATAATGTTTCCAAGGGTCATCCATGTTATAGTATGTACCAGCATTTCATTGGTTTTTATGACTAATATTCTAACATATGGATATACCACATTTTACTTATCCATTCATCACTTGATAGACATCTGAGTTGTTCCAGCTTTCGGCTATTATGAATAATTCTGCTATGAGCATTTGTATACAAGTTTTTGTGTGGACATACATTTTCATTTCCCTTGGTTTTATACCCGTCAGCCCCACTGGTTCTTACATGAGACTTAGATTGTTTCTAGGTTTGGAATGTAGTAGAAGGGACCTGGCCAACCATGGGGATTCTCCTTTCAATTTTGAAAGTCAAAAGATTCTGTAATCAGAGAAGACAAGTAGTGATTTTACAGCATCTTACTATGTTGATGGACAGTGACTGTGAACGGGGATGTGGGGGGGAGTTGGTGAAGGGGGGAGCCTAGTAAACATAATGTCCTTCATGTAACTGTAGATTAATGATACCAAAATAAAATTTAAAAAAAAAAGATTCTGTAATCATGGAATTGGTCAGAAGCCAGAAATGAAATGAGGAAAAAGGCAAGAAAACTGTTCTTTAAGAGAAGGATAAGGGGGAAAAAGAAGAAAAAGCTTTCAGACTTGCTGACCCTTTAGACAAACACATTTGACAACCTGCTTTTTGTTCTTTCTGCCTCTCACCACTTCTTATACATATCAGTATTTCATCTGTTAACAGCTGTGAAATTACCTGGAGGACGATTATGTAGTGGATTCCAAGATCAATGTTAGAATAGGTTATGCTGGCATCCCTGATTAGGTGGCTATAGCAATCACTTTAGACTCTTATAAAAGGGCCAGATTAACAGAAATGAAGTGGTATTTTTTGTTCCCCAGTCATCATAAGTATGACTACCTTAACTAATTATCTCCTACTAGCCAAAGCCTCATATTTCCTAGTATAGAATTGAGAATATGATTAAATCTATAATAGTTTAAGACAAAAAAAGTTCAACTTAGTTTTATACAATGTGAGTTTAGGACAGTGAGTATTCAAATAATGGCTAGCCATTTTAAAACACCTAATAATACGTGCAGTGAAGTATATATCCCTTGGGATCTGCTATCTTTAGTAAGTACTGTCATTTTAATATCGGGCACTGTGTCAGAATTATATTAAGCTGTAGACATTATACTGTGGGGAATCTTACCTTTTTGGGTTAAGTGCAACTAAAGATTTACAGAGGTAGGAATGGCAAAATTCTTAACTTTTTTAAAGTTAAGGATAATTCTAACACTATATACCACACACCCCATTTTCAAGATTCCCTCCAATGGACCTGAAAGCTCAGCAGTGCTGCCTCTGCCCAGCAGATCTCCCCATCACTCCCATCAGCATCCACCATAGTACAAAACTGAGACTGGTTTTAAGTGCATTTCATGCAAGACCAACACAAAGCAATTTATAATGTAGTACAGACTAAAAGTGAATGTGTAGAGATGTAGTCTACCATTCTGTCTTTCCCTTAAAAAAGAAGTCAACAGTCATTAAGACACTCACTTAATTTCTGTGTCTAATAGAGTACTTCACTGAGCCAGAACCTTCTTTTATACAATTCATTAAGCTAGAAGCAGTACTCTCCATTGACATTACAGTGAAGAATAATCTTCCTTGGTTTCCTGAATTTCACCAGGTGATCTCCAACAGCATCTCCAAGCAATGTTCATATTACTCCGTCCAGAAGACAACATCAGGCTGGTAAGTTAGTGTTATCATTATAACTCTCTTCCTCAAAAGACTGTCTTAAGATAGCAAACATTAAACAGTCATTTTTGTATCCCAACACAGTGCTGGGAACTATGTGGAATAGAAAAGATGAATTACATGTTCCCATCACCAGAGAGCTTAGAAAGTAATTGGAATATGAGCTGATGTGAAGGGATGTGAAATAATTTAGGTTCAAGACTGTTGGTAAGCGCCAGTTTCTAAGTTATTGACCATAATAATAACAACTGAAGTTCAGACAAAAGGAAGAAAACTTGAGGGCTTGACCCAGTTGAGGAAGGTTTTATGTAGGCAGTGGAGCATGAGCTGGGTCTTGAAACATGATAAGGTTTAGAAAGGCTTAGAAGTCGGCAGAAAGAGAAAATATAGTGTTTCTACATGAGGACATGACCAAAGCAAAAGCACACACACAGGAGAAGGGACGGGGAGGGAAATGGCCAATGACACGTGCTGGTTTCAGAGTCAGAAAACTAAGGCCTAGGTTTTTACTAATAGTGATGTTGGGCAAATTATTTAGCCTGTCTGGGCCTGCTTCCTCATATCCTTTCTACTTCTCACAGTTAAGAGGATCAAACAGGCATGAAGATTTACTGAAGGGTATAAAATGCTGCCCAAACGTGGGGATTGTTATTATTATAGTAAGATACCAGACAACAAGGCGGGAGAGCAGGGACTTAATGCTGCAAACTAAGGGTCTCAAATTGGCAGCCCACAAGCTATTTTTATATGTTTTGTTTGGACCACAGTGGGGTTTTTTCTTTTTCTTTTTTTTTTTTTTTTACATCTGAGCCAGAATTTTAGGTTGGGTGATTTCATATAAAAATCCCTACTTTGGGCTCATCTTCAAAAATTGAAAATTCTGGTAGCACTGGGACCTCATTCTTACATGGCAAAACACAACTTGATTAGATTGGGGCAGGGGGTGGGGTGGTGGCTGGCATTGGTGTGGCCTAGGCTCTTAATTTACCATAATTCCCACATATACTATTGTTTCCTGGACATTAGCCCCAAGTGCCACTGTTTGTCACCAGGCCTTCACTGTGAATTTCTTACAGTAGACATCTAATAAAAGTAGGAAAACAAAAATGGGAATGCGTATGTTTCTTTGTGGTAAGTGAAAAGCGTTCCTGCCCATTAATACTGACATTCTTCATTCATTTGCATTCCCTAACTAGATTAACATCTGGAGGTAGTAACTCAACCTCTTCAGTAAATAGTAGTGAAGCACTACAGGGTTTTGAGCCAAGAAAGTACATGGGACAGCTACAGTATTTAAGAATGATTCCGCAGATGCTAATAGAAGAGGGGAGAAGAGGCTTCCATCTTAAATCAGGGTGACCCTTAGGTATTTATTGCACTAATCTAAGCATGTGGTGATGATCCCTTCTAAGTTAAGACGTAACTTGGAAATTGGGTTTCCATAGGCACATTAGTTTCAAATAGTTATCTCTGCTCTCTGTCTGGGAAGAGGGAGAATAAGTAGAATACAAGAATGACTGGAAAGTTGGTGATCTGGCTTCTGAGCTCTATGATAATTACTGATTCTTCAGTTAATCATTCTGTGTTTAAATTCTGTCATTTTTTTCTCTTGAATGTTGTCTCTCTTGCATTCTTGACAAAGCCATGAATTTTTGTTGTAAAACTTTGAAATTTAAAGGATATGAAATTGGAGATCCTTACATAATTATTTTATATCCTAATCTGAAAGAAACATTATATACTTAAGTAAATCTTTTCTATATTTTTTGATATATTCTATCCTAAGCATTTCATTGTAAGTGAATGAAATGGGGTATAGTTCTTACAGCATTAATATTCTATGGCTGTGATACTCAACCTTAGTATGTATCAGAATCACCTGCAGGGTTTTGTTAAACTGCCATTTGCTGGAGTCCACCCAACATACTTTGATTTGTGGAGGAGGCAGTGATCATTTGCAATTTTAGTAAGTTTCCAAGGGATGCTGGTGCTTCTGGTCCAGGAGTCACAATTTGAGAACACCTCTAAAATCCATATAATGGTCACTTGCACACATTTGATGTCCAATAGATATTCATTGTTAGTTTCCAAACCCTGTGTGATTTGGTAGAGCTAAAGCTGAAGTCTGTCATTACTCACTCCATCTTTTTCTCATTGATTACCTTCTGTGGTTTGAATTGTACTTCTAAATGTTAAAATAATTTTAACCACAAGAGAAATGGGAGAGCATTAAGGAAATAGTAAGAAAGGCAGAGTTGGCAATTAAATTTTTTTCTTTCCCTGCTTAAATATGCAGCCTCAGCTGCTTTACATTTATAAAATATAAATTCAGAAAATGTAACTGATGCCTCTGAATTAATTCAGAGTTCAGATGACAAGCCATTTTACAGTTATTTTGAATTGTTGCAAACACATAGTCATTATGTTTCAGATTATTGAGTGAGTCATATTCAAGAAAATGAGTGAACACATTGTGTGACTTTGGACAAATTAGCACTTTTCTAACTGAAAGGAGCATTTGTGGGCTCAAAGCAAAGCCTTTTGTTTTGAGTTAAATTTGGAATGCTAAAACTCCCATCCTGGGGCTTGTGCATAAGGTTAAGAGTTTGATAGTCGACTCAAAGTCCTGCCTTTAGTTTTTAATAACCCAACAACGCACAGAGTATACCAAAGCCCACATTTTGCTTTAACATTGAAAATAGGACCAAACCAGTTTTTCCTCCAGGAAAATTCTGCATTCCAAATACAGTTCCAAGCATTAACTTTGGTATTTGGGAAACCAGTAGCTGGTAAAGTGAAGACAGTCATTTTATAGTATTCTTGCACATTATCAAAGACCCAATTAATAAAAAATAGGCTGGGAAATTGAGAATTTTCTTGACATTTGAAGTAACTTCAATTAATGTTTTTAACTAGAGCTGATAAGGTGAGGTACAAGGAGGTGTTTTTAGTACTTTGCAGGAGAGTTTAAGAAAATAAGGACTTTTTTTAAAAATTTTTTATAGTAGATTGACATTTTTCCAAAAGAAAATGGTGTTCTTTTTTCTAAATATAAATGTAATTTTTTAAAATCATATAATACAAATATAAGGAAAAAAAGTAAAAATCACTTTGTAACCTATACTCTGAGAAAACTATTCTTAGCAATTTGGGTATCTTTCCAGTTGGTGTGTGTGTGTTGTGTATAAGAGTATGTGTCAGATTCTCTGAGATCCGCTCTTAGTGAAGTGGCTCATTGATGAAAATAGTCAGATCTGACTGTCAGAATACCTTCCCATCTACCTGATGCATGATCTCTGTAGGTCTGAGAAGCAAAAGCATAAAATAATTTAAAACAGTAAGAGCATATGTCTGAGGGATATGTGTATGTATTTATAAAGATGACAGTGGATAACAGAGGACTTGCTAATGAGATCGGGGGAATGTGTATACATGAAAGGCTAATCAGCTCTGAGCAATGATGAAAAAAAAATTTTACTACTTACCTTTATAACTGTGAAGGGATTCTACACTGGATCTGAGCTCAAAATTGAAAGGAGAAAAAAAATGTGTCAGAGGACCCTTTTTTTCTTTTTTTACAAAAATGAGATAAAAATAATTGCTGTTTATAGCCTGCTTTTTTCACACTTCATCATGGATGTCTTTCCATGTTAGTAAATAAATTTATTTTTAATAGCTGCACAGAAAATAATTCATAGTTTTTTTATTTAAAAAGTTCAGAGACAGATTTAAAAAAAAAGTCTAGAGACTCCCTCAAGCTCTATTTCTTTTGAACACAATGTCCTTTAATTTATTAGTGTCAGATCTGAAGTCTATTTTAATTTTAGATAATTGACTTTGCTTTGTTCTTTTGGCTAGAATTTAATAGTTACATACTTTTGAAGCCTTTCTCTCTGATAGATTGGGTGACCTGCCTGTCCAGGCATTGGGACTTTATAATGTGGCTTCCCTAAGGATAAACACTGCATGCAGGGGCATGATGTAAGTTGCTCAGTGAAAAGAAATTAAAGGCAAAGGTGCGCTATGAGTTTAAGGAGGAGTATTTCCTAATGTTGGATGATGAGGAAAGAAGTTACTCTATCAGATAGTGTTTATGAACTGCTTGTAATCAGATTAATCATTTAAATTAGTAACTGAGAGAAGTTTTAACATCATTCTTTGAGAAATGAGCTCTGAAAATAAGCTGGGTTCTTTTCTCTCAAAAATAAAGCAGCTACAGATGACTTCTCAGACCTCAGTCCTAGGATTGCGAGATCTAGTTCACCTGAAACTTGTAAAAGGATTCCAAATTTAGATAATAAATGGATTTCTGAGAATAATTTTCTCAGTGCTGTTGCTACCAAGTTTTAAAATCCAAATATTGTTTTGTTTGGACAATTAGAATAAATTCAGTAGTATCCTTTTAAAAGAGAACTTACTCAGTTGCATCATAATCATTGTCTTATTCCAGTCCATCTGTCTACTCCATGTAAATTCTGGAGACTGGGGAAACATTGGAATTGCTGCCACCTCTAACGTTAGGGTGTTATGTACAAACTGCATTTTAAATTACATTTCTCTGATTGGCTTGATGAATTAAATTAGATTATTAGATTTTTTTAATCTTCTTCCCAACAGAGGAATATGCAATAAAGTCAAACCAGGGGGGGTGTTAGGTTTTTCTTTATTCTGTGGCTTTTTAAATTTTTTGTTTAATTCCTTAACCTAGACTCTTGAGGCTTAATTTTGAGGCCTCAGGGCCATCCCCTGGCACTGCAGAATTTTTACTGCAAAAACGTCTATCTCACCCTTCTAATTAGAATATAGGCGTTGAGTTAATGTCATGGCTCCTGACCCCCTGACTAAAGTTCTAGTTCCTTTTAGTAACAATTTAATAATTACTCCAGGTAGATACCATTAGAGGCTCATGATCAAATTCCAAGATCTTTAAGCACTTTTCTGCCATCTGATAGGCTTAAAATGGAATGAATCTGTGATGTACCTGTTACTCAAGTCTAAATCAGGGCAAGAGGCATGGGGCCTTTCCCATTAGGTTTGGGATCTTCTGTTATGATTAAATTAAGCAAGGGAGGGTTAAATGTTTGAAATGCTCCTGATAGTATAAGTAAATAAATAAAGAAACAAACACACACCTCACTTTTTAAAAAAAGACAACTCATGTTTTGCACTGAAGAAATAATGCAAAAGAAACAAATACCACAAGGAACCTCTTGCTACCTACCTGCCAATTTGGCCTGGTAACATGTATGATAGGTAATATTTTTGGAAGGTTTTTTTCCTTTTATCATCTTCAGCTTAGCCAATCAGTTGGCACTGGTTGGTGAAGAAGCTGTGGATAAATTATCAGAAGCACAGATCAGTTGTTTGCATGCCATTCGTATTTGAGCCTTGCCAGAAATTCTCAGAGCCTTTATAGAGGATAAAAGAGCCTCTGACATATTCAGGAAACTAAACAGTTAGCTGAGAGCTTGCCAAGGCAGGCCTAAGTTTAGATATGTAATAATATCTGAGATTGTTTATAAGAAATTGTAGTTTACCTGCACCAGGTTTCTGGTTAGTTTACTATTTTGCAGAGTATTTCTAGAATGAGAGTAAGTGCTGCCTCCCAGTCCTCCTCATGTGCATTTACTGCTATTCATAGTTCTGTGTGTAATGCTCACATGGTCCCAGCCCACTTTAAATATCCACTCCTCTCAGCTTCTTATACGTGAATTTGATTTGAAATAGTCTGTTACTTCATTAAAACATGAAGTCCACAACACAATAAAGCTCCCTACCTTGTGTACTTGGAATCAGAATGGTAGGCATTATGTTCTTGATGTATCAGCTCTTACTAAAGACAAGCTTCAGTGTGGCTTCCACTGTTCGTGCTCCCTAGCTTTTCCCAGGAGTGTCAGAATAGAGACAAAAAGATAACCATAGCTATCTCACCTCTGCCTTGCTAAATGAATCATTTAAGCTGTGTACCTATGTCTCTTCTCCTCTGCCTGGCACTTTTAAAGTAGTGACAGAATTAAGGGAAAGGAGACTCCAAGAAGAGCAGTACTGAAAGAATTCAGAAGAGAAATTTCTGCCAAATTTCTGACAAATGTCTTGAACCAGTTGGTAAGATTGGAGCTGGTTCTCTTCTGAGATAAGGAACGGGAGGTAATTTATCCAGAGGATATTGTCTCCAGTATATATTTTCTTGGCTTTTTATTAACAGATTAAAGTAACCAGCTGTACACTCTGTGACACCAGGGACCATATCTCGGTTTTCCAGTCATAAATGAATACTCAGCATTTGCCCTCTGATTGTACACACAATAGATATATAGTGAATATTTGAATGAATGTTGAAGCATTTTACTTTATTTTTAAGGTTTATAAAGTATCTTTTTGAGCTTCTGATTAAGAAAATATCCAAACATAAAATATATCAACATGAACCCATTACCCAGCTTTAATAACCATCAACATTTTACCAGATTTCTTTCATTTGTTCCCTTCTTTTTCCTTTCTTTATTGAAACATTTTTTTAAGTCACTTTCTTAAGGTATAATTGACATACAAAAGTTGTACATATTTTAATATATACAATTACATTGAGTTTGGAGGTGAATACCCTTGAAATTATTACCACAATCTATGCCATAAACATATCCATCAGCTCCAAAAGTTCTTTCCAACCCTCTCTATTTATCATCATTATAAAAACACTTTAAGATCTACCCTTTAACAAAATTTTTTAATAGAGTTTATTTTTTAGAACAATTTTGGGTCCACAGCAAAATTGAGCAAAAGGTACATAGATTCCCCATAGAGTCTCTGTCCCCACTCAATGCGCAGCACCCCCATTATCACCATCCCCACCAGAACTGTACCTTTGTTACAATTAATGGTCCCACATTGACACATCATTATTACTCAGAAACCATAGTTTACATTAGGTTTACATAGTTTACATCTTGGTGTTGTACATTTTGGGTTTTGACAACTCTCTAATGACATGTATCCACCACTTTAGTGTCATACAGAGTAGCTTCACTGCTCTAAAAGTCCTCTGTGCTCCCCTGTCCCTTCAGGGTTCAGTCATCTACTGATCTTTTTACTGACTCCATAGTTTGCCTTTTCCTGACTATCATATGTTTGAAATCATACGGTATGTAGCCTCTTCAGATTATTGTCTTTCAACTAATAATATTCATTTAAGATTCCCCCATGTCTTTTCATGGCTTGATGGATAGCTCATTTCTTTTTATTTTTTTTGGGAGGGGGTGGTTAATTAATGTATCATTGATATATAATCTTATGAAGGTTTCACATGAGCAACATTGTGGTTTCAACATTCACCCATATTATCAAGTTTCCCCCCAACCCCATTGTAGTCACTGTCTATCAGCATAGTAAGATGCTATGGAGTCATTACTTGTCTTACTCTGTTTTGAACAGTTCCCGTGACCTAGCTATATTGTAAGTGCTAATTATAATGGCCCTTAATCCCCTCTCCCTCCCTCCCCACCCACCCTCCCCTACCCCTTCGCTTCCCTCTGGTAACCGCTAGTGCTTCTTGAAGTCTGAGAGTCTGTTGCTGTTTTGTTCCTTCAGTTTTGCTTTGTTGTTATACTCCACAAATGAGTGAAATCATTTGGTACTTGTCTTGATAGCTCATTTCTTTTTAGTGCTGATAATATTCATAAACTATGTACTATAGTTTGTCCATTCAACTAAAGAAGGAAATCTTAATGCTTCCCATTGTCAGAATATTTTAAAGTAAAACTTGGGCACCATGTCATTTCACTCCAGATACTTAAGAGTAAGGCATAACCACAATGCCATTATCACACGAACAGTAAATCCTTAATATCATTGAAGAAACTCTCCATGTTCAAATTTTATGAAGGTCCTTTTAAAAGATCATAAATAAACACATATGTAAAAACTTTCGGGCAAAAACAATAACAAGCTTCTGAAAAAGCAGTTTCTTTAATCATCATTGAAATTTAATTATCAAAGAAAAAATCTTATATAATCTGTAAGAATTCAGTAGTGCATACTCTTTAAATAGTAATAGTGTGCTTCATATTTTAATTTTTTGTGGGACTTGTATCTGTGAGTCTGATGTTCACATTCCCCTCTTCAGTCTTTAGAACATGCCCTGGTAACTGTTGTTATTATAAACTATGCTGATAGCAAACATTTACTGAGCATTTACTGTATGCCAGGCACTGTGCTTTACATGCATTATTTTATATGTTTCTCGCAACCCAATGGAGTAGGTATTTCTTAAATCTCCCTCCAATTAATTTAGTAATTTACTGAAGGTTTTATAGTTAATACATGAGCTGGGATTTGAATTTAGATTGCCTAACTACTGGCTCTGCTTTCTCCCTAAGCATGCTTTAAGTTGCTGATGTAAAAAGAGTTGAATGATCTCAAACTGACCTTCTGAATTTCTTAATTTATTTGTTGTCTGTGAACCTCCAGGCTGTGCGACTAGAAAGTACTTACCAGAATCGAACACGCTATATGGTAGTGGTTTCAACTAATGGTAGACAAGACACTGAAGAAAGCATCGTCCTAGGAATGGATTTCTCCTCTAATGACAGGTATAGTACCACAAAGGGGGAGGGTAAGAAAACAACCTTTTTAGATAACCTATTCCAGTTTCCTTTTCGGTTATTGCAAAAACATCTTGTGCAGTTCTGCCCTTAAAGTTCATTGCTTAAAACTGAAAAGCACAAAAGAATTTAGCCACACAATCTCAAGTGATGAGAATCATTAGTGAATGTGTCTGTGTGTTTCTAATTTACCACTATTCCTTACCTTCCTCTCATCTTTAGGTGGTAATGAAATAAAGCAAATGGTTTAAACCTGTATCTCCAGGGCATAAAAGCTGCCTTTTTTTTGCAGTCTTCCTTTTTTTAAGCAGTCATGATTCACTTTGGTGATTCTCAGGCATGTACGCTGTGTGATAGGGCACCAACAGGTTTTGGGTCCAATGAGAGACCACCTGAATTCCAATCTCTTATATATGTCATGGCCTTATACTTTGCTTTACCAAGTGTTATGCTTCCTTTTTCCCTCTTCTGAGTTTAAAAAAGGGGGAAAAAGATTTTTGAAACTCACAACAGAACCTTTTGTAATCATGCATCTTTGGCTCTAACAGCACTTTATATCCTGTAATTAAAGATACCACATACCACACAGAACCTGCCTTTTTTGTGCCTCTAAGGTTTGCTACTTTCCTTTTTTATTTTCCCACTTTTTCTTGAAAAACCTTGGGAAGATTGTGGAATGTGGCTAAGCAGATCTTTGTACTCTAGATAATAAGCGGCAGGAAATCCTGCCAGATGTCTCAAAGCATTGACTTCCTGGTCCAGGACTAGAATGGAACTGTGGAGCAGCTTGGGGTGTGACCCAGGCCTGGGAGAATTCAGCCACAAATTGAAGAGGCAACTAGGAGTGAATTTAATTATCCTGATGTTAGAGGGGGAAAAAATCACATTGTCACTAGAAAGTTTCTGAAACTAATGTTTACCTAAACTTGTACATGGCAGTTCACCTGAAGGTGGTTTGTGGGTTCACAAGAATCACAAGGCCAGAGTTGTTACCTTGTATGCCCCTTACAGCCTTTAATAGTATGCTCTGAAATTACGCAGGCTGGTAAACCTCATTTAGGAAGCTTTTTCTCCTACATGATTTTAACGTCTAGTGTTAGCTGAGCAACAAAATTTTTCAGTAAACATTTATTCTGTGACAGCACCTATCTTGCCTATATTTATTAGTACTCTAAGATCTCTAATTTGGGTCTTTGTCTCTCTAGGTCTGTACTATCCAGTACTGTACCCACTAAGCACACTGTAACTATTTAAATAATTCATTTTAAATAAATAAAACTTAAAATTTTCATGTCCTCCATCACAACTAGCCACATTTCAAGTGCTCTAGTTGTATGTGCCTAGTGGTTACCATACTGGACAGTATATGTGTAAGACATTTCCATCATTATGGGAAGTTTAGTTGGACAGTGCTACTCTAGATCTTATTTCCTTTGGTTCTCCCTGACTCCTCCCTTAGAGACCAGTTAAGAATGAACTTGTACTCCATGGAAACTTCACTTGAGTGTTCGCCTAGAGGGAAAAGGCAGCAACTCCAGATTCTCTGGACCCAGAGTGTGAGAAATCAGATGTCTAATCTTACTTGTTTCACTTTGTCCTAAACGTCCCCAGAAATTATGAAGAATGCTTATTAACATGGATGCCCATTAATGTATCCTCACTGAACCACATCTGTCTTCAGCAATAGACCGGCTTCAATCACATCCAACTAACAAGAAAATTTATTTTATGGAATATAAAGAACCTTTGGAAGCTAGTGTTCATTTTGTTTGGTAAATTTGAAACTATAAATTCCCATACATCTTCTGTTTGAATAAGCTCTTTGGACAGTAAGAGAAATGCTGCCCACTTCTGAATACTGGTGCTCAGAAAATATACTATCACTTCCATCTCAATTGCTGTTGAGGACATTTGTGTCATTTTGTAGCTTAGAATATAAAAAGTTAATGTTTCAAAACAGTATTAAACCAAGATGGAACACAGACTGTTCAAGACATACTCTTCCCAAGTAGTTCTCAAGATATGTTACAGCCAATTCATTTAGTCTATTTACATGTTATTTGAGTATGGTGTTATATTTTAAGTATTAAATCTTTTAATATACAATGTAACTTTGGTTTCCAGATTGCATTGGATATATCCAACTTATAAAATAATAGATGGTGGTGTTCTATAATTTTCTTTATAACTCCAACACCTTGAAATGTCTGGTACAAATAGGTACTCAATAAATATTTGTTGAATAGAATGAGTATCTAATGAGTACCTATACTTTAATGGTCTCATAAAACTCAAGGTAAACTGGATAGAAATTCTAGCTGTGCCTAATTCAGCTTTCTGTATCTTGTGTGCAAAAGCTACTTCTGAATGTAAACCATTCTGACCTGAATCAAATGGAAAATGTGATGTTTGGTTCCTGCATATCATTGTCACTTGTTCAGACTTTAACTGGTGTCTATTCACAAACTTATAGATCATACACTCTTCTCGATCTTCTATATCTTTCTTTTTTAGTCACTTAATTTCTGAATTTGTCACTAGCCTATCAACCCTTCATGTTTATACCCTAATTATACTTGTTGCTAGGAACCTGGCATAAGCCCTCACTATAAAAAAAAACAAAAACTACAGTTGACCCTTGAAAACATGGGGGTTGGGGACACCAACCCTCACACAGTTGAAAAATCCGTGTGTGACTTTTGACCCCCCAAAAACTTAACTACTCATAGCCTGCTGTTGACTGGAAACCTTACCAATAACATAAGCAGTTTACTAACACATGTCTGATACTTTGAATCTGCGCAGTTCAAACCCATGTTTTTCAAAGGTCAGCTGTTCTCTAAAAATAACCCCGCTCTACCTTGGGAAGCCATTTTCAAAACAAGTTTTCCTTGTGCTCACCTCATCTGCTCAAGAAAACTAGTGGTAGCACTATCTTCCTCTCTCCCAGACCCAGGCATGATAGCTGTGTGTCTGAAGTTCAGGCCCAGGGTTCCAATGTGGGTAAGCTGTTCCAGACTTGATTTGACTTTCCTAAGCCCTGAAATCAGTAGTGAAGTATTGAGTAACACAGGCAAGTAATGCAGTGCAGAGCATTAGACAGCTCAACTAGGGAATGGCCTTTGTAGCCCTGCAGTGGCTCTTACAGTGAAAGCTTGGTATTCTTTGTTGTTTTTAATGCATTTTCATAATGTTCTCTCCCTCAGCCCCCAAAATCACTTTCAGCTGTGTTAGAGCACCCACTGCAGATTCATATTTAGCATATTACATGACAATACATTCATATACATTGTTTAAATATTGTAAATTTTTATGATTACCCTATGAGGGTAGGTTTTGTTACCTGCATTTTAAGATGAGGAGATTAAGGCTGAGAGAGATTAAATAACTTGTCAGAAGAAATTGAAATACTGAAGGAGATCAAATCCCAATTTTTTGCTCAATAAGTGGTAGTTATTACTATGTTTTAGGTACTGTCATATACATTTTTTGGTGTATTATCCAATTTAATCTTCAAAACAGCCCAATAAAGAAGGTATTTCTGTCCAGTTACACAGATGAGGTAACTGGAGCACAAAGCAGTCAGGCCCCAGAGCCTGTCTGACTCGAGCCTATGCTCTTAATTATACCACTGTTCCACCCATGTACCTAGGGTTGTTTCTGCTATACCATGCTGATTTTCTAGATACACTGGCAGGGAGAGGGTGTAGGAGCCTTTGGGAGACTGGGTGTAGGAAGAAATGGTTTATGGCAACCTTAAGGAGCAAAAGTGGCTGAGGTCTGTGGTTACATTACAGTTGTCCAGAGAAGAAGTGTAATAGAGATACCACTGGGAGTCCCAACCTATTCCATTAACTTAAAGCTAGTTTCTTCCCTGGGCTAGCATGTGAGTTAAATAGAATTTTAATATACCATACTCAGGGCTACCCTTTTGTTGGTTGTTGACATTCCTATTTACTCTGGATTTCAGCAGTGCTATTTCAGTGCATAGTCACCACGCACTGTTTTAGTTAGTAATGTTGGATCTATTTTGTCTCTCTGTCTTGATCCCACTGGCATCCCACTTGAAGCCATTGAGAATTACTTTTTTTTTTTTATCTTTTTTTTTTTGATCTTTTTTTTTTTGAGAGGGCATCTCTCATATTTATTGATCAAATGGTTGTTAACAACAATAAAAATCAGTATAGGGGGGTCAACGCTCAATGTACAATCATTAATCCATCTCAAGCCTAATTCTCGTCCGTCTCC